CTCCACGGCAAGCGGGGAGGAGGCAAAAAAGTCGCAAGAGGTTAAAGAGGCCAAGAGCAACAAAAAACATTTCCACTGTCCAACGTGCAAAGTGACGGTCAATTCCAGCTCTCAGTTGGAGGCTCACTGTAGCGGTATTCACTTTACAGCCTTAGTTTTTAAGCCACTTGCACTTTGATGTTTGAAACAACTTTATTGTACACTTCTTTACCACTGTGACACTTTGACCAAAACACGCCCCCTCTGTTTGGCTGAACCAGGGTCTAAGCACAAACAAATGCTGGATGGTCCAAACAGCAGTAAGTCACATCGCAGGGTAAAGATGACGTCAATCCCAAGACCAAAAGCTCGACTGAAACAGCGGATAGGCAGCAAGAGTCGAGCAGTTGGTGGTGCCACAAAGCAGGCTTTTCACTGTGAACTGTGCCAGGTGTCCGTCAACTCAGAGACACAGCTGAAGCAGGTACACAAATACACAAATGCATGTTGTGGTGTGATTAATGGACTTTATGCATCATAATCAGTCTACAACTTTGTTAAAACAGAATGATTCCACTTTGGTCAGGTCAGGTGTTTTGGCTTTATGACTGAATGTCTCTGTCACCTTTCAGCACACAAACAGCAGGAGACACAAAGAGCGTTTGGCAGGGAGACCAGTCAAGGCCAAGTTCGCCCCTTATAATAAACTCCACCCCAATGCTCTCTTTGCTGTGAGTTTCTCACACACAAACACATATTTATTTTTGTCTACATGGAACATAACCATAAAGGAGTTGATTCCACAGTGCATTAAAAAAATCATCAAATGCCAAAGATAAGCTATCTCTGACAACTGCAAGCATATGCTGATCACTATTAAACTACTATGGGAGGAAAACCACATACTGTAATTTTACAATGCAGTGTTCTGCTTGAACACCTTTGAAAGATTTGACTTTGGGCACACACCAATTGAAAGAGTTCATCACACATTTGCCATGCAACTGTTTATTGACACATTGCATAACTTCAGAGACTTCTGAGGTGGTTAGAGCAGCAAAACAGGTGGGGGATGCTGTTAAGAAAGAGGCTGGATTAGAAGAGAAGAGTTTGAAGGGATTTCAATCAGGCACAGTCTCTTCACTGAAGTACTTTCAGCTTTCATGTGTGTAACCGACATTAACCATATTATTCCTAACACTGTTACTATTACTATTACATGTGCATACCAAGCTTATCCCCAGGAAAACAATCACTCTCAGCTGGACTGTGTGTTCCGTCGTATAACTTTAAAACATGTTCTGAAAAGGTTCGGTAAATAACACAAAAGGCCCAAAGCATTGCCCTAGTTTCCAAACTTCCCAGAATTAGCCTGTTTAGCATCTTTGAGACCTTGCACAGATCCACCTCAAAACCAGCAAAACCCAAATAATCATTGTTGCTGTGCCCATGACATTAACAGTCAAAGTCACTCCACACACTGTGTGTATATACACGGATTTAGACTGTTAAGCAGGTTTTCCACTTTGCGAAATTATCTATGTTGCCCTTATACCTGTCTTAACTTAGTAGAAGGCAAGGTAAATACAGACAGACATTCATCTAATTTAGTCCTATATAAACTGAATATATTTCTTACCTTTCTTTCAGACTAAGCTGGCACTCCAAAAGCAGCTATCCAAAGCCCTGCCGGCAGGGTTCCTGACCAGTCCGCTCAATCCAGCTGCACTGTGCACAATGACATCCGGACCTTTAGCACTTCGACTGCCTCCAGGTCCGACAGCTATTATCCAAGGTCCTCTTATTAGCCCTACACTCTTCAGGCCAGCCCCAGGACCTCTGAGGGCCACACATGCACCGATTATCTTCTCTCCATATTAGCAAAGAGCATTTGGATTTGGGACGTACAGTAGAGTGAATCTAATCTAGCAAACTTAAATGGTTAGTTTTGCCAGCATTGGTAAGTACAGAAAAGCCAGAATGAAGCCAGGAGATAATGCAAGCCCATTGAGGACAAGACCATGGGTTTGGCTGGTACAAGTCATAAGAACCGCTGGTCCAGACTGATCTTTTAATGCTGATTGCTCAGAGCTTCACCTTTACACATGGAGGGACCATCTCTCAGTTGTTTCATGTCAGCTAACATCTGAGTGCATGTTCCTAAGGGTCTGGACCTATCTGCAAGCCATAATGATGCACACGTTTTATTTTGAATTTTATATATACTTATAAAGTATAGTGTCAAAGTGAATAAGTGTTGTTGCCAAAATGTCTTTAACTTTAAGGGTTTCTAGTGGTACTGTGGGATAACAAGAAAATGACTTTGTCCAGGCTTTGGTTTCCATAACCAAATCCAAAGCCTGAAAGTACAACCACGTGTTAATTTCCCATAAACTGGTTTATTCTATAAGACCAGCATTAATTTATGAGGTAAAATACAATGAACATCTACAATTTTGAACTGCTGAGTATTTTGTATGTCAAAAAAGTTTAATTTTTCGGATGTTTGTCTGGTATGGATCTTCTTTTTTTTTCATTTCAGATCCTCAATTCCCCTCCTGTTTCCCTGTCTATTGTTTTTTGTGTAACAAGGTGACAATCAACCTAGTGATGATAGAGTGCATTTAATGTGTAAAATGGAATGGTTTAGAATAAAAATAAATATTGAAAAATGAAATTTCTTTGAAGCAAACCATTATAATGTGTTTTTCAGTTGATAGTTAGGTAGATTCATAGGATGTCACACTAAGTCACCATGTTTACTGCAGCATTTATAAGCAGGCTAAGGTGCAACACAATATGATTTCTGTTTACACAACATACAGATGTCTCCACAGCACAACTGATGAGATCCAGTGCACTGATTAATACACTGAAATGTCCTTATATCAACATAAAACTGTTATTGCCTGTTTTGATCCTCTTGGTAAATGTTTCAAACTTGCTTATAAAAAATTAAACATGGAGACTCAAAGAAAGATGTTTCCTGCACATAATGGCTTTACAGAAGCAGGTCAAAGGAAGCATAAAGTATTCTTTTTTTTTTAAATGTGTCATTCTCATGTTTATTTTTATAGTGAATGTTTTTTTTAAAACTGAGTATTTTCAGTATAGATATTTCCCCCCTGCATAGCTTTGCTGAATCACCTTAAGCAATATTTATTTTTAAGTGTCACTTGTTAAGATTAATAATTAGTGTAGCTGTGCATTTTTTGCAATAATGTAAATGATCATGTGGTAAAACTGTTAATACTGTATTCCAAATGAACTATAAATAGTCCCTGTTTATACTTGGTTGTGATTGTTTTGCTTTCTCATAAACACATCCCCATTACTATGCACTGTTGTATCTCTGAGATTATAGATTATGGAGCTGAGGAAATGCACAATTTCAATACGTAGGAAAAGTCATACGAACATAGTAATTTGCCAAATGCTTTAAAACATCAGACACGTGGACGCAAAGTGACCCAGTAATATCAGTCTCTGTGCCAGATTATAGTCTACTCATGAGTGACACAAAACGGGAAGTCGCTTTTGTTTGTCCTCAGCAGCAGATTAAGCCTACACGTTATGAAAACTAAATGCCCTCTGGTGGAGTCTCTCATATAGGTCCAATACAGTGTAATCCAACAGGGTAATAGGCTGCCATTTTATAAATCTCTGTCAAAATGCAAGTTCTGACACTGCATAGTACTCTTTGTGATGATGGCAAGGTAGAGAAGATAAATCCTAACAGAATGTCTTGTGC